GAGCTGGACCGGAAGAGGAATAACTGGGACTAGTACCCGGCGCCCTAACCGAGACTGAACCTGGGGTGCCAGCACCACAGGCAGAGTATTAGCCAAGTGAGCTGTGGCGCCGGCCACTTTGTTTTCTTTTAGAACAAGGTTACTCTGTGGTAGGGAAGCAGGGACTATTTATTTATCGTTGTGCCCTAGCCTAGCAAATTAGCTGCTCACTGTAGATATTTAATAAACATTTACATTATTGAACAAACATACTTAGAAACTGCTTCATATATATTTTTGTATGGTACTAAAATTCAACTATCAGATTCTGTAATACAAAGACATTTATAGCGTTTTTACTTAATTTGCCTTATAGGGAGTGTGCATTTAGCCTAGTGGTTAAGATGCCCTCATCCCATATTGGTGTACCTGGGTTTGATTCCCAGCTCTGGTTCCTGACTCCTGACTCCAGCTTCCTCCCAGTTAAGATCCTGGGAGGTAGCAGTAATGGCAGAAGTAACTGAGTTCCTCCTGCTCATGGGAGGCCTGGATTGTGTTTCCAGCTTTGTCCCAGCCCCAGCTGTTGTGGGCATTTGTGAATTGAAGTAGTAAAATGCTGGCTGGGAGCTCACTTCCTCTCTCTCTCTCTCTCTCTCTCTCTCACTGCCTTTCAAAAAAAAAAAAAAAAAAGAAATTTAAAAAAATTGTTGGCCGGCACCCAGCTCACTAGGCTAATCCTCCACCTGCAGCACCGGCACCCTGGATTCTAGTCCCGGTTGGGGCGCTGGATTCTGTCCCGGTTGCTCCTCTTCCAGTCCAGCTCTCTGCTGTGGCCCGGGAGTGCAGTGGAGGATGGCCCAGGTCCTTGGGCCCTGTACCTGCAATGGAGACCAGTAGGAAGCACCTAGCTCCTGGCTTTGGATTGGTGCAGTGCGCTGCCCGCAGCGCACTGGCTGTAGTGGCCATTTGGGGGGAGAACCAATGGAAAAGGAAGACCTTTCTCTCTGTCTCTCTCTCTCTAACTCTGCCTGTCAACAAAAAAAAAATGTCTTATAAATTACGGATTGAGAGACTCGAGAACTGTATTCCATTTCATCTGAGTCACAGATTTAGCTATAAAAAAAGTAGTGAATATTACTCGATACAGAGAGCAGAAAGGGAGCAAGGGGAGAAGTTCAAACTGTCCTTCAAAGATAAGCATATACCCTCTTTTACCAAAACATTATATATCATCATCTTTTCTCCTAGACATAATATCTTAATTTATAATTCTAGTTCTAATAACTATTCATTAACAAGTAATTGGACTCATTTGTTGCAAATTTCTCCTCAATACTTACATACGCTGTAACTTTAAAGACAGAAGAGGTAATTTGTATTTTCTTGGTTTGAGGATTCTTTCGAACACTAAAAAAAGGAATAAAAAGGTCCATTTAAAACATAACAAGAATTGTCATAACACACTTTAAATAACAATTCCTCTTAGTATTTAGGTGTTCTTATTTAAAAGGAGCTGGCATTGTGTTTTAGCTGGTTGATCAACTGCCTGCATTCCATCTATAGGCACCAATTTGAATCCTTCCAATCCAGCTCCCCAGTAATGCATGTGGGAAAGTAGTAGAGGATGGCCCAATTACTTGAGCTGTTGTACCCACATGGGAGACCTAGATGGAGTTTCTGATTTCTGGGTTGGGTTTGGGATTGTGTGCAGGAATTAGGGGAGTGAGTCAGCAGATGGAAGATTTCTCTCTCTCTCTGTAACTCTGCCTTTCATTATAAAGTGTGTATATATTTATATATAACTGTATAAAGGGAGGAGTAGGCTCTATAAATATTAAAATCAGATTTAAAGTTTAGGTAAAGACGCAGGATAAAAATAAACCTGGGGCCAGCGCTGTGGTATAGTGGGTAAAACAGCCTCCGGCTATAGTCCTGGCTGTTCCACTTCTGATTCAGCTCCCTGTAATGTGCCTGGGAAAGCAGGGGAAGATGGCCAACACTACTGTCTCTCAGAGTATGCATTGGCAGGAGGCTGGAAACAGGAACCAGAGTAGGGAGTAGAACCTAGGTACTCCAATGTGGACTATAGGCATGCATCATAACCACTTGGCCAAATGCCCACCCCTGGTGTTCTACTAATAACTGCACTGTATCAAATCTTAGCTGTCACTAATTACTTCCTCATAGTTGTATTTTTTTTTTTTAGATTTATTTTATTTATTTGAAAGTCAGAATACAGAGAGAGGTAGAGATAGAGGTCTTCCATCTGCTGGTTCACTCCCTAATTGACGGCAACGGCCAGAGCTGTGCCGATCCAAAGCTAGGAGCTTCTTCCGGGTCTCCCATGTGGGTACAGGGGCCCAAGGACTCTGGCCATCTTCTACTGCTTTCCTAGGCCACAGCAGAGAGCTGGATCAGAAGAGGAGCAGCCAGGACTCAAACTGGTTGCTCGTATGGGATGCCAGCGCTTCAGGCCAAGGCTTTAACCTGCTGCGCTACTGTGCCAGCCCCTCCATATGATATTTTAAGAGTGAAATTATGGCCAGCGCCATGATTCACTAGGCTTATCCTCCGCCTGCGGTGCCAGCACCTCAGGTTCTAGTCCTGGTTGGGGCACTGGATTCTGTCCCGGTTGCTCCTCTTCCAGTCCAGCTCTCTGCTGTGGCCCAGGAATGCAGTGGAGGATGGCCCAGGTGGGCCCTGCACCCGCATGGGAGACCAGGAGGGGGCACCTGGCTCCTGGCTTCGGATCAGTGCAGCATGCCAGCCGTAGCAGCCATTTGGGGGGGTTAACCAATGGAAAGGAAGACCTTTCTCTCTGTCTCTCTCTCTCACTGTCTAACTCTGCCTATCAAAAAAAGAGTGAAATTATACAATTATTAATAAAAATGTTTATTATATAATTTGTGATAATTTCTGTGGATCAGTCTAATATAAACTCCAAACTTAAGTAACTCTGTTCATTTAAAATAAAAAATAAGGATCCTAATGCTTAACTGTCATCTGAAGGCCATAATCTAAGCTTCTTAGTTCAAATAATAAAATTTCACATCTGGAGTGGATATGTAGTTTGGGAATTCTCCAAAAACTTTGACAAAGAACAGGTGTTTAACATTTAAAGTAGAAAAGATACAGGCATGCTTAGTAACTATGAAATTATTTCTGCATATACATTTTTGAAATGTAATGAAACAACTGATTATTTACTCTTTAAAAAGATGGTTCCAAAATCCTGCTTAACTGATTTAAAGGAACAATAATCCTTGAATAGAAGGCATTTCCTGGGGCCAGTGCTGTGGTGTGGTGGGCAACCACCGTCTGCAGTGTCAGCATCCCATATGGGTGCTGGTTTGAGTCCTGACTGCTCCACTTCTGATCCAGGTCTCTGCTATAGCCTGGAAAGGAAATGGAAGATGGCCCAAGTGCTTGGGCCCCTGTACTCGCATGGGAGACCTGGAAGAGGCTCCTGGCTCCTGGGTTCAGATCAGTCCAGCTCCGGCTGGGGAGTGAATCAGCGGATGAAAGACCCTTCTCTCTGTCTCTGCCTCTCTTTAACTCTGCCTTTCAAATGAATAAATAAGTCTTTAAAAAAAAAAGATGGCATTTCCCCCAAACAGTTAAAAGGTATATTTTATGGGATTTTTAATAATGGAAGAGGAAGAAAATATTTTAAAAATGATTTTACTCTTTTGCTTGAGCCAGGGGTTCCTAAAATCCCACTCTCTAGCGTGCCCTCAACAGCTACAGATGGATTTTGCTGGAATAGATCAGTAAAGATGTTTATCTGCTAGGGCAGGTTAGACACTATAAAGCAGTTACTGCATGTACAAGCATAATAGAAGGTAGCAGATGTTTTTCTAAAGCATGCAAGAATATCCAAAAGTCAAGTTCAGAAACAGGAAAAAAAACCCACCTTGCATAAATTAGCTTGTACAAACTACATGATTAGATATGTGGCTCAGAATTCTGAGAAATTATTGCAGATACTTCACATTCCACCTAAGCTTTTTCCACTAAAATGTTCCATGACAATTGCTATTTTAATCCACTCTATATCTTTACCACTAACAGCTAGAGCCTTAATAGATAACGCAGCATCTGACTCCAATCAGCATTACCAGTACTAGAAAAGCCACAAATGGTTTATGTGCTAAGCAAGTCAACATAGCTCTAAAGGGACTCTGAGATCATTTAATCCACTCAATTGTTTTGTGTTGGCATCTAAATTATCTTGAATTTAGTTTAATCATAATTTTTTAAAAAAATTTTATTTATGGTATACAAATTTCATACATTTCATGTATACATTTAGGAGCATAGTGATTCTTCCCACTATACCCTCCCTGCTGCCTGAGTTCCCACTCTTCTTCCTCATCTCTCACCTATTCCCACTCTTAATTTTTACAAAGATCAATTTTAAGTTTACCTTTTACTCATCAGATTAACCATAGAGTAAGTAGAGTTGAACAAAGAGTATTAGGAGAAAAAAAAAAAACAACCCTCTGTTCTTTAACAGTGGAGAACAGAGCTGTAAACAATCATTGAATCTCAAAATGTCAATTTCACTTCTATACATTATATTTTAGATACTCTATTAGTTAACACAGATCAGGGAAAACATATGGTATTTGTCTTTATGGGACTGGCTTATTTCATTAAGTATAATGGTTTTTAGTTGCATCTATTTTGTTGCAAAAGACACAATTTCATTCTTTTTTATGGCTGAGTAGTATTCCATAGTGTATATATGCCATAATTTCTTTACCCAGTCATCAGTTGGACATCTAGACTGATTCCATAACTTAGCTATTGTGAATTGAGCTGCAGTGAACATGAGGGTACAGACAACTCTTTCTTTTTTTTTTTTTAACTTTTATTTAATGAATATAAATTTCCAAAGTGCGATTTATGGATTACAATGGCTTCCCCCCCATACCGTCCCTCCCACCCACTACCCTCCCCTTTCCCACTCCCTCTCCCCTTCCATTCACATCAAGATTCATTTTCGATTATCTTAATATACAGAAGATCAGTTTAGTATACATTAAGTAAGGATTTCAACAGTATGCTCTCACACAGAAACATAAAGTGAAAAATAATAGATGATTTTTTTTAAGTGATGATGAAATCAGATCAGACCTATTGTCATGTTTAATCCCAGTGAGAGTCAAGTTGGGAGTTGATAATTTCTTTTTTTTTTTTTTTTTTTTTTTTTTTACAGAAGATCAGTTTAGTATACATTAAGTAAAGATTTCAACAGTTTGCACCCCCATGAAAACACAAAGTGAAATATATTGTTTGAGTACTCGTTATAGCATTAAATCTCAATACACAGCACATTAAGGACAGAGATCCTACATGAGGAGTAAGTGCACAGTGACTCCTGTTGTTGACTTTACCAATTGACACTCCTGTCTATGGCATCAGTAATCTCCCTATGCTCCAGTCATGAGTTTCCAAGGCTATGGAAGCCGTCTGAGTTCTCCGACTCTTATCTTGTTTAGACAAGGTCATAGTCAAAGTGGAGGTTCTCTCCTCCCTTCAGAGAAAGGTACCTCCTTCTTTGAAGACCTGTTCTTTCCACTGGGATCTCACTCGCAGAGATCTTTTGCCAGAGTGTCTTGGCTTTCCATGCCTGAAATACTCTCATGGGCTTTTCAGCCAGATCCGAATGCCTTTAGCTGATTCTGAGTCCAGAGTGCTATTTAGGACATCTGCCATTCTATGAGTCTGCTGAGTATCTCACTTCCCATGTTGGATCACTCTCCCCTTTATTTATTCCATCGGTTAGTGTTAGCAGGTACTAGACTTGTTTATGTGCTCCCTTTGACTCTTAGTCCTTTCATTATGATCAATTGTGAACAGAAATTGATCACTTGGAATAGTGAGATGGCATTGGTACATGCCACCTTGATGGGATTGAATTGGAATCCCCTGGTATTTTTTTTTTTTTTTTTTTTTTTTGACAGGCAGAGTGGATAGTGAGAGAGAGAGAGAGACAGAGAGAAAGGTCTTCCTTTTTTTGTTGGTTCACCCTCCAATGGCCGCCGCGGCCGGCGCGCTGCGGCCGGCGCACCGCGCTGATCCGATGGCAGGAGCCAGGAGCCAGGTGCTTTTCCTGGTCTCCCCATGGGGTGCAGGGCCCAAGCACCTGGGCCATCCTCCACTGCACTCCCTGGCCACAGCAGAGGGCTGGCCTGGAAGAGGGGCAACCGGGACAGAATCCGGCGCCCCGACCGGGACTAGAACCCGGTGTGCCGGCGCCGCTAGGCTGAGGATTAGCCTAGTGAGCCGCGGCGCCGGCCCCCCTGGTATGTTTTTAACTCTACCATTTGGGGCAAGTCAGCTTGAGCATGTCCCAAATTATACATCTCTTCCCTCTCTTATTCCCACTCTTATGTTTAACAGGGATCACATTTCAGTTAATTTTTAACACTTAAGAATAACTGTGTATTAATTACAGAATTAAACCAGTCATATTAAGTAGAACAGACAAAAAAACTACTAAGAGGAATAATGTATTAAGTAGACAACTCTTTGTTATGCTGATTTCATTTTATTTGGGTAAATTCCCAGAAGGTGGGATTGCTGGGTCATATGGTAGATCTATTTTCAGCTTAAATCATAATTTTCTAATGCAGTTGCTTTGGAAAGATCATTTCATATTCTCACCTCATTCAGCAAAGAAATTCATAGGCATGTTAAACGTGGGACATAAAGAATAATATTTAATGGTTTCAGAGGAAAGCACTGCTGTAATTGGGCTGGTGTCCTTCCTTGTTTCCCCTGCCATGACAGACTTGGCATGCACCTACCATGAAATGGGAACAGACTTATGTCCTCTCTGTTGGTCTTCATGGACTTCTTTCCAGTAAGAATTGCCTGACTGCTAACATCTGCACTGATAATTACTTCTTTCTAACTTCTGGGCTTACTAATTACAGTGTAAGTATAAGGAGCTATAAACATTTGCCTATAAATAACCGAACACTGGATTATATAAACAATTTGCTTTAAAGATTCCATACAAGTACTTTACTATTCTTTAGTATGTTATTTTGTTGTAACTTCTTAAGATCAAGGACTGCCTGATGTTCCTCTTCTAGTCCCTTTAGATCTTGATAGAGTTTGCACCATATTAATACTTGCTGGTTGCCTGATTGATTCCACAGGGGAAAAAAAATCCTCTTCTTCCTAAAAGATGTTACGAAACTTGGCCATTCATTTTATGAGTAACTGTCACTTGTCATATCATACTTTTTTTCAGCATACAAAAAATACAGGTGAGAATCTAAAGAGGGGAATGTTGAGAAAAATGGCAGTTTCTGCAACGTGTAGGTTCTAAGATTTTTTTCTATTTCAAGTTTCTCCAACAGAATCTCCTCCCAAACAGAGCATGGTAGTGAGGAATTCCACAGGTTCCTGTTGCTGATGGGACACAACACACCGCAGTACTAGTGGTGGCAGGATGTGTGCTTGCATGCATTTGTGTATACGTCTAGGGTATACCAAGGAGTATCTTCAGGAGTGTTAGAAGTGGCCTAGCAAGTTTTGTAAGACATGCAAATGATTAGGATAGAATATTCTTGATGTAGGTATTTGTATGCTTTTATTGAAATTCTGTTTCTAACATGGCTCTTCCAATAATTTTTATGTATTGGCAAAATGTTTCACTAAAATGACAAATTATAGAAATATTTGTTTTTAAAACCATATCAAAAATAACCTAAACAAACAACTAAATAATGCAGCCTGTTATATAGCTAAATGACAAAAGGAATGGATGAGAATTCAGATGTTGAATACAAAGAAAGTAGCAATTAGCAATGCAAAGTTAATTCTATTGCTTTTTTATTAAAATAAATATTATATAACGAGCCCTAGGACCATTTGCTTTCTCCTATTCTACCCTTTTTGCTTCTAAGGATGATTCAAACAAACATCATTTGCTTCAGTCAAAATACAAGTATAGATTTAAAAAGTTGTAAAGTTTTAATTCTCATTTGATCTTTAAAGAAAAACAAAAGCCCTGGTAGAATACCAAAAACAAATTGTATAGCTTCAGAATTAATTAGAAAAGGCAAAGATTACACCTAGATGAAAATTCTTCCACCTCTTTGGAACAAAGGTAGTAATTTTTTTATTGTTAGTCAAGCAAACTCAAAGATTCTAAGAGATTTCTTGTGTTCCTTTGCTATTTGAAAGGTCTAGTGTTGGTGAGTACAGGGAGAAGGAGGCCTGCAAGATGGTAGTTGCTAATAAGCAATACAGTAGGTGGAAGGTCTGCATGAGGGAACAAGAGATGAAGAAGATGGTGAATGAATGGAGAACTGTAAGAGAATCAGGGATATCCAGAAATTTTGTGAGAGGGGTTCAAAGTAATGCTGTTTTTCTACACTTTGCTTGCTAATATGACTACAAGTGATACTGCGGAATTCCAACATGATTAACAAATACATTGCTTTACTCATTAAAGATTTACATGTTATTATCTAGCAATATTACCTCACCAGATCTTTATAGATAAACTTTGTTGTTTCCAGATATGGATAAATCTCATCTTCATACTGACAAAGGGATCCACCAAGGCAAAGATGTTTAAAAAGACAAAACAGGAACTCTTCTCTATCTGGCTGGCTGAATACTTCATATTTTTCTGAGTCTTCCTCTAATAAAACCTAAAATGACAATTTTTTAGAAGTTTCAATTTATATACTTAAAAATAACCTTAGATCTACTTTAAGAAGCAGAACTGACGAAGCTGGAGACGCAGCTATACAGATCTATGCTTCTTTTTTGTCATTAGGTACTGACATTCAATAAAAAAATCAAATTTTAAATTTTAAAACACAGAAGCTAAGCCTTCTGTTCTGCTTAATTTCTTAGCCCTAGTGTAAATATTTAGTAATTATTCTAGTGCCATTGTATATCTAGTGTGAGGGCACCTCAAATCTTATTTGGAAATTAATGGGAGCACAAACCAATGGGAAAACTTCTCCATCTCATAAGATATCTCCTCATCATTTTGACTTACACACTAGTGGTCATTTTGTAAGTGCTTTCACTTTACAATGTTTGGATCACCATGTCTCTTATCCTTACTCAAGTTTAAACTATGCAGGTGTTGGAGCCTCAAATTCTCTTCCCCTTTTCCCGCTCTCCTTTCTAAGATTACTTCATACACTAAATATCTACACTGACTCTTGGTCTCCTCAGACTTTGTTAACACTCAACTAGGTCTGATGTGGGAGATATTCTTGCACCATTAGTCACACAAACAATTGATTAATTTATTGATGGTAGTGAGTATGAACAAGAATATAAATGAAAAGTAGACTATTATGTTTATTCTCTTGAATTTTTTTATATCCTGCCTACTTTCAAAAAGAATTTGAATGGGACAGTGTTATGGTACATCAGGTTAAGCTGATGCTTGCAATGCCAGCATCCCATATCAGATTGCAATCCTGGCTACTCTACTTCCAATCTAGCTTCCTGCTAATGTGCTTGGGAAAGCAGTGAAAGATAAGTATTTGAGTCCCTGTCACTCATTTGGGAGACCAGGATTGCGTTCCTGGCTCCTGGCTTCAGCCGGCTCCAGCCCTGCCTATTGTGGCTACTTGGGGAATGAACCAGCAGATGGAAGATGTCTTTTTCTGTCTGTCCCTCTGTTACTCTACCTTTCATATAAATCAATGAATCAATAAATCTTTTTTTTAAAAGAATGTGAAATAGCTAACAATATAATATGGATACAATAAGACCAAAATAATGAAAGATAAAAAACTTTAACCAAAAAAATAAAATACCAAGAGAAAACATATATATAAAGAACTCTAGACAGAGAAAGGCCACATAAGAATTGTGCCTAACACTTAATAATATACCATATAAGTAAATGAAGGAAACATGATGTTATGTAAGAATGCCATCTGGTAGCAAGAAGAATACTTATTTAGGAAAACTGATTAAGCTTATTTACAATTTGAAAATGACACAAGGTCACTATATAAATGGCATTTTAAAATAATAAATTCCATGGTATTATCCATACAGTTTATTTACAATGACTTGAAGAAAGCCAAGTTTATACTTGTATATGGTAGAAGACAGGCAAGAGGAAGTGGTCCATAGTTTATTGCTCTCTGGGTGTGCCACATCTAACACTTGCATATCTCCCTTCCCTCCCTTCCTACCTCTCTCCCTGCCTCTCTTCCTTCCAACTCTCCTCCCTGTAAGGAAATTATGTGCTATCAAAGCCCATGTTTGTAGCTATCTGAAGATCTAGCTTAACACAAGGGTGGATAAAGCACTTAAGAGGGAATAGTTAATGCATTCCTTACAGGAACACACTCAAATATTGGATTAGGCTTCTGCCATTTTTTAAAAAATACAGTAACTTAATTTTTTGGAAATAATGTTAAAATATTCTATAGCTATTAACTCTCTCCATTTACATACAGATCTCTTTCCCCTTGCAGACCTCAGGTATGCAGCTGCTAATGAGTCAAACTCCTGCACTGTAGTCAGGAAGGAGGTTATCAGTATTTACATTACAGTTGCCAGGAACATCTGTGCTGTACAATGAGGAGCCCTTTGTAGTTCCAGCTAAAGCTTAAGTTATTTGTTTTTCACCCCAAAAACAATCAAATTAAAAACCCTTGCTGTTGCCACAGAATAACAAGGAGCACAAGAACAGAGCATACAGGCAAGCAGCAGAAAAACACTGAATCCCACCACCTCAGGAATAGAGATGTTATTCATGGTAGTAAATAAGACAGGTAGCACGAAGTTTTGCAGATCATTCTGCTGGAAAACAAATTCTTCTTTTAAACTAGTCTATTGATGGGGATCTTTCTGTAGAAGTGATGGTGAATTCTCTGAAGTTAGATGCAAGGGTCTTGAGACCCTTAGCCAGAGTAGACCAATGAAGAAAAGAGCTGAAATTAGCCATACACAAAAGAAGGGAAATATTGACCAACATGTCCTGAATAGTACCTTCTTTTTTATTTTTTAAATAAAGATTTATTTATTTATTTGAAGGCAGAGTTAACAGGTAGAGGCACAGGCAGAGAGAAAGAGAAAGAGAAAGAGAAAGAGAAAGAGAAAGAGAAAGAGAGAGAGAGAGAGAGAGAGAGAGAGAGTCAGTCCTCCATTTGCCGGTTCACTCCCCAGATGACTGAAACAGCCAGAACTGAGCTGATCCGAAGCCAGGAGGCAGGAGCTTCCTCTGGGTTTCCCACATGGGTGCCAATATATAATATATAATTGATATCAAAGCTGTAATTTTTAATCACTTTTTAATACTCTCAATAATGATAATATCATATTTCATTTTAATAGCATTTCATGCTTTCTAAAAATATATTTAAATTCTCCCTCAATTCATTTTATCAATGATTTTAGGAGGGTAGAATGGGCATTTTCATCTTTGTGTTAAATAGATAAGATTCTGAAACTCAAGAGATTGAATGATTTGTCTACGATTACATAAATAATAAATCTTATTCTAGGTTCAGTGTACTTTTCACTAAAACAAAATTTAGTTTAGCTAATCAAATGACTTTATTGTTCATATCAATAAGGAAAACATTCTTCTACTCTAGTAATGTTTTTTATTCTTAATTTCATAAGAATCTCATATTGAAGAAAAGTAGACATTAATTGAATAGGCCAGGATTTCTCTACTTGCACACAACTGACATTGTGGCTCAAGTAACTTGGCTATAAAAGACTGCATGATTTTTAGCAGCACCTAGCCATCAGATGTCAATAGCACCCCACTGGGAACTACTGAATTACACAAATAATTGAGTTGACAGTATAAGTACCACCCAATAAAAAATATATCAATGTAATGATTAATACTGCTCATCATTTATTAACAAGAGGTATGTATGGGTTTTAGACAGGCAAAAGTTTTTGACATTTTGTATTTCCTGAATAAAATTCTACCATGAAATTTGAAAAAGCTGTACTTACTTTTCGTAACTCATCAGAAATGAGAAATGGGTCGCAAAAAGAATCTAAACACTTAACGATATGTCCACTGTCTCGGACAATATTTTCATCATATAACCGATCAAAAAATGACATTGAAAGCTGTCTGCAAGGAACATTTATAGCTTCAATTTTTTTCACTTCAGTTCCTGAAAAAAAGGTATTTTATAAAGAACAGAGATACACAAATCAATTTAGTATTTTCAATTACTTCCAAAATAAATCACTATGCAAAGATTCTAAGAAGTAACCAAGTACAACATATGTTTTGATACACAATCACGCACCAAATAATGACATTTTAGTCAATGACAGACCTTATGTACAATGGTGGTTCCGTGAGATTAAGATGAAGCAAAAACTTCCTACCACCTAGTGGCAATAGTACAATGCATGTATTTGTGGTGATGCTGGTATAAACAAACCTACTGCATTGCTAGTCATATAAAAGTATAGCGATACAATTATGGGCATGTATAGTATATAATACCCAATAAAGAAAATAAATGACTCTGTTGTATACTATAGTTGCTTACTTTTACTGTCCTTTTTATCATTATTGTAGAGCATACTCCTACTTATAAAATAGTCATGTAAAACAGTATGCTGTATTACACTGGCAGGAACTTCATACGTATTATGTTACTGCATGTCCTGACCGCATCAAGAGGCAAGAAGGAGTATGGGTCATCTAGGTACCTATAATACACAATGATGTTCACATAATGACAAAATCGCTAACAATATATCTATTTTAAATATTTATTTTATTTATTTGAAATGCAGAGTGACACAGAGAGAGGGAGAGACAGAGACAGAGCTTCCAGTCTACTGGTTCATTCCTCAAATGGCCACAACGGCCAGGGTGGAGTTAGGCTGAAGCCAAGAGTCTGACACTTGGGACCAAATACTTGGGCCATTTTCTGCTGCTTTCCCAGGAGCATTGGCAGGGAGCTGGACTGAAAGCTGAACAGCCAGGACTCAACTGGCAGTCTGATATAGGATGCCAGTGCTGCAGGTTGCAGCTTAACTTGCTATGCCACAATGCCAGCCCCCAACTAATACTGTATTTCTATAAAGGGATCCCACCATTAAACACAGGACTGAATTCAAAAGACACATTAGCTTAGGGAGTCTGTTAAATTCTGACTTTTCAGTCTATTCATTTATTATTAATAAGTTTGTAACAAATCTCACCATTTCAGGACTAGATAAATGTAAATTAGAAAACACTTGAAAAATGAATTATTTTGTATAACTGGAATTTCTCAGACCACTTTTAGTGCATCTATGAAAACTGCATATAAAGGTGTAAGAATTTTGGTGGGCATTTGGTCTAGTAGCTAAGACACTGGTTAACATGCCTGCGTCCTACATTAAGAGTGCCCTGGTTTGACAGCTCTGCTCCTAGCATTCTCTTAATACTAACCCTAGGAAGCAACAGTGATGGCTCAGGTCACTGGGTTCCTGTCACCCATGTGGGAGACCAGAATTCTTCCTCCCCTATCTTTTGCAGGCACTTGAGAAAATGAACCAGCAAATGGGAGCTCTTTTTCTCTCAAATAAACAAAAATTTTAAAAAGCATAATAATTGCTTTATAAGACTTTGAATTTATATTACATTTAATGCTTTATAAGTTTCTATAAAAATTTTAATTAACATGTTTCTGAAGTGATCCTTAGGGTTCACTTGAAAACATTTTCTTGCTATTAAAAAATTTCTCCTGTGTGGTCTCATTTTTAGTGTTTATTCCAAAAAATCTTTCCAAGTTGAGGTAACTTAATGAAGTGCGGCTTTGAAATTTATCACAAATTCAGAATCAGAGAAATCTGGAACAACGATGTTTTGTTTTGTTTATTTTTCTCTTGTAGCTCTAGTTCTCTGCATCCCCCCTCCCCAACATGCCTTTCCCTTACTCCACATTATTCCCTGAAGGCATCTTTAGGAATAGATTTTCTGCTACTAGAGGGTCTATTAAATTACAGAAAGTCATAAAGATTAAATATTTTTATTATTACTTCAGTCAGTCGCTCCTTTATGTACATATATACACATAAATTTACTCAGAGTAGGTGGTGTTCTTTTATTCAAAGTGTGATGGCCCTTGGCATATCTGTTCCCTAGATACCTTTGAGAAGCACTGAGAAGTAGCTAGCTTGTGATTGAGAAGACTAAGAAAATGAGCAATAGTTTGCACTATTTTGGCTGTCCACCCAGAGTCATGCTAGGACCTGCTGTTGCTCCCAAGATCCTGTGCTAGGCTAATGTGGAGGAAAGGTTGCCTGGAGCCAGGAACTGGAACTGTGTATGCCTCAGTAATTTCAAAAGCTATGCTGCAGTTTCTTTTGTTTCAGAGACAAAATCCTCTAGGGGATTAAAATGAAAAGAAGGCCATAGAAAATGATAGAGCAGTTCAAGCACTGTTGAAAAACCAAAGAACAAGAGCAGTATAGAGCCTGACAGTTTTAGATAAGTGATTTGTGGCCACACGATGAGCGACTGACATTGGGCCACTTTAATAAATCTGCCCTTACTCTGATTTGGGGAGTGGTAAGAGGGTTTGGATGCTAAGAAAAATAATTTAAATTCAAACCATTTATCCTGAGGTATGAAAATAGCATTGCTATTTTACTGTATACTGCCTTCAAAATTGGCATGCTAAACCTCTACCCTCAATGTGATAGTATTAGAAGAAGGGAAAGAATTAGAATTAGATGAGCTTATGTGCAGGGACTCACAGGGCTTCAAAATATAAGTTTTGGGGAATACAACTCATTAAATAGCATTTTGTCCCCCCCCAAGTTAATTTTTTATCACATGCAAAAATACATTCATTCTATTACAAGTTTGAACGCTTTAGCTCACTCAAGTATCAACTTTAAAGCCTAAAGTCACATTTAAATGTTGTCTAAAGTAGACATTGGTGAGACTTGAGGTATGATTTTTCCTGAAGCAAAATTCCTCTCCAGCTATGAACTTATGAAATAGGACAAATGTGTTGCCAAAATAGATTGGTGAGACAAAGAGAAATAGTCACTTCCATTCCCAAAGGGAGAAATAGGAGATATTGAAGCAGTAATGAGTGCCAAGCAAATCTGTAAGTTAGAAAGGCAAATTGTTTTAGATCTTTAAGAGATTTAAGTGAGTATTGCCTAGTGTTCAACTATTTGGGTAATTTTCTTTAAGTGTATTATGAAAATGTGATCTATATAAAGTTCTCCTTTTGAGAATTTAAGACTCTGTCCTCCACTTAATTATTATTCTTAAAATATGTTCTGTGGTAGCTGATTCCTCTGTCAGAAATCCATGTCCCCACTCTAAATGAAATTTTGCATAAACATCCCTGTATCAGTGGAATCATTTCTGATCCTTTCCTTCTGGGTAGAACTGACCATACTCCTCATCTGGGTCTTACTTCTGTAGTGGCACCCGTGATGCATTACTACACAAACATATCTTAACCTATCAACAAGTTCCTTGACAACAGGTTTTCTCTTATTTACCTTAATGTTCCCTGAATCTAGCAAAGTATATATGGAAGATACACATTAAATATTATCCAAATTAAGAAAAAGAAAAATTACTCTCATATGCTAAGCCAGGACAGTAGCAGTAGACTCCCAGGAGAGAGATGTAAGGTAAGCCTTGCACAGCTGGTCACACTTGATTTTGATATTATCAAACATATGAGTCATTACTCATGATTTGCATTTTAATAATGAAAATTCCTGAGGCAACATTTTGTTATAATAGTAAAATATTCAACTGAAAAGTTGAAATTAATTTTATTTACCTAATGTAACCCACTGTCCGGAAGAATCTGAAAGTAACTTCAGATTGGGAATAACATTTGGGTGTCTGAAAAAAGCCTAAAATACAAATTTGAGGGGTACATGTTAGATATTTTATTACAAATAATAAAAATTAATTTATAAAAGTTATAGTAAAATATAATGTTTAAAACTAGACAAGAGGATAATCTTATATTGGTAAAATAAGTAATAAATGCTTTTTTAAAAAAATATTTATTTGAAAGGCAGCATTACAGAGAGGGAGGGAAAGGAGAGAGAAAGGAGAAAAGAGGGAGAGAGAAAGAGAATAAGGGAGAGGGAGAGAGACAAAGAGATCCTGATCCACTGATTCACTCCCCAAATGGCTGCAACAGCCAGGGCTGGGCTAGGCCAAAGCCAGGAACCTGGAACCCTATCCAGGTCTCCCATGTGGATAGCAGGAGTTGGGCCATCTTCCACTGCTTTCCCAGGTGTATTAGCAGGGAGCAGGATGGGAAGTGGAGAGGCTGGGACTCCAAGTAATGCCCATATGGAATACCAGCATCACTGGGTAGTGGTTAAACCAGTTAGACAATGCAGGCGCCATAAATGCTTCATAAAGAAGTGAAGTTTCACTACAATTCAGTCTGGAATAGTATGAACAACAATGTATGTCCAAGTACAGGTATCATTTATTTATTTATTTATTTGAGAGGCAGAGTTACAGAGAGTAGGAGAGACAAAAAGAGAGGTCTTCCATCTGCTGGATCACTCCCCAAATGGCTACAGTGGCAGAAGCTGGGCCTATCTGAAGCTAGGAGCCAGGAGCTTCTTCCGAGTCTCCCACATGGTGCAGGCCAAGCATTTGAGCCTTCCACTGCCTTCCCAGGCATTAGTAGAGAGCTGGATTGGAAGAGGAACAGTGGGGACACAAACCAGCGTCTCTTGGTGCTACAGGAGGAGGGTTAGCCTCCCATGCCATAGCACTGGCCCCAAGTACAGGCATCTTTGGGACTTCATATTCTAAATCAGCTCCTTAGTTGTTTATATCATTTCAATTATACAAACAACAGGATTAACTCACATAAGTACCATGAGTGCTAAAGAAGTAGAAACTCTGTGAACTGTCCAATTAAAGTTATTTAACATTTGAAAACTTTGTTTTCCATCCATTTTGTTTTCAGAATTGTCTTAATAACTACTCACACACTGACATAAAGAGATATGAAAGACTTGATTTCCTAAAAATGAAATTTTCTATGTGGCAACAGATAATAATCAAGAGCTTCAGTTTCAAGTATCAGCAGTTGAGGAATCCAAGATGGCTGAATAAGGGTATGGCCACACTAACTTAAGCTGCTCTGAGATAGGAAAAGAACAAAGGAAGGATACATTTCCAGGAGTCTGACAGAAATTTTCAGTGAAGAAGCAAAAAGAAAACAACAACAAAGACTCCATGGGAAAAGAGAAGATAGAAACACCACTGCAGCCAGCCACTGAGCACAGCCAGCTGTTGGATATGAGCCACCATCTTACCACCTCAAGGTAGGAAGAAATCACTGGGAGTCCTGCCACTAGCAGTCTTAGAGGAGAGGGAATTCCACAGTCATCCATTGGCTTACTTACTCAGCTTGGAGGGCTCACTGGGGTCTGAGCAACTGCTGGGCTTAGGGCAGAGGAGCTGCATTGCTTTCCTCAAATAAATAAAATTAGAGATGAAAAATGAGACATTACAACCAACACCACTGAAATACAAAGGATCATAAGAAGCTACTAGGAAGAACTATATGCTAATAAACTGGAAAATTTCAAAGAAATGGATAAATTCCTAGATCTATATAACCCACCAAGATAAACTAAAGATGATATAGACAACCTGAGAAGAACCATAATAAGCAATGAGATTGAAGCAGTAATCATAAGTCTTCCATCAAGGAAAAGTCCTGGACCTGATGGCTTTACTACTGAATTCTACAAAATATTCAAAGAGGAAGGAACTACAATACTCTTCAAATTATTCCAAAATATTGAATTGGATGTACTCTGCCAAATTCTTTTTTATGAGGTCAGCATTACTTTGATACCAAAACTAAACAAAGACATGACATGAAAGCAAACTACAGAACGTAGATGATGCAAAGATTCTAAACAAGATATTAGCAAATAGAATTCAAAACCACAAGAAAAAGATCATACATCTTGGTGAAGTGGGACTTATCCCAGAAATCTAAGGGCAATTCAATATTCATAAATCAATAAACATCATAAATCACACCAACAGAATGAAGAACAAAAACCATATGTTCATCTCAATAAATGCAGAGAAAGCATTTGACAAGCTTCAACACCCCTTCATGATTAAAAACCTAAGGTACAGAAAAACATTCCTCAAAATGATAAAGGCTTCATAAGGAATGGGGGAAATCTGAAAGAATTTCCCCTCAGATCTGGACAAGACAAGGATGTCCACTTTCACCACTCTTATTCTATAGCACGAGAAGTTTTAGCACGAGCAATTAGGAAGGAGAAAGAACAAAAGGGCATAAAAATTGGAAACGAGGAAGTCAAATTATTCATGTTTGCAGATGACATGATGTTGTACGTGGAAAAACCTAAACACTCCATCAAAAAGCTGTTTGAATTGACTAACCAATTCAGTAAAGTTGCAGGTTACAAAATAAACACACACACAAAAAGTAGCTTTTTTGTAACGTTAGGATGAACTCACAGAAAGAAAAATCAAGAAATAATTCCCATTCCTAATAGCCACAGGAAAAAATTATTTAGGAATAAATGTAACCAAAGAAGTAAAAGATCTCTACAATGAAAATGAACAAACACTGATTAAATAAATCATCAAGGACACACAAAAAATGGAAAGATAGTCCTTGCTCATGAATCAGAAGAATCAGTATCATTAAAATGTCTATATTACCTAAAGCAACCTACAGATTCAATGCAATCTGTATCAAAATACCAATGACATTCTTTACAGAGGTAGAAAAAGGAATCCTAAAATTTATATGGGATCACAAAAGACTCTGAATAGCCAAAGCGATCCTGAACAAGAAAAATCAAGTTGGAGGCATCACAATACCTGACTTCAAAGCATACTACAAAGCTACAGTTTTTAGAACAGCATGGTACTGGCATAAAATTCATGTGTGTAACAACTATTCTCTCTCTCACTATCTATATATACACACACACACACATATTACTATATATATATAGTAAAATTATTACATAACTTTGTCGAAGTTAATTTATAGGTTCAACTCCTATAGATCTTTATGGCATACCCATTCCAACTAGGCTTTCAAGATGCCTCATCTCCTATTATAGAAGAATTACTCCACTTTCATGACCATACGCTTATGATCGTCTTTCTAATTAGCTCCCTGGTCCTTTATATTATCTCACTTATGCTGACTACAAAACTTACTCACACAAGCACAATAGATGCTCAAGAAGTAGAGACAATCTGAACCGTCCTCCCAGCCATTATCTTATTTTAATTGCACTCCCTTCCCTACGAATTCTGTACATAATAGATGAAATTAACAACCCTTCCCTGACAGTAAAAACTATGGGCCACCAATGGTACTGAAGTTACGAGTACACAGACTATGAGGATTTAAACTTTGACTCATATATAATCCCAACATCCGACCTAAACCCAGGTGACCTGCGACTTCTAGAAGTTGATAACCGAGTTGTCCTTCCAATAGAGTTTCCAATCCGCATGCTAATCTCCTCAGAAGATGTGCTTCACTCATGAGCTGTCCCATCATTAGGACTAAAAACAGACGCCATCCCCGGACGCCTAAATCAAGCTACACTTATCTCAACTCGACCAGGGCTTTTCTACGGTCAATGCTCAGAAATCTGTGGCTCAAACCATAGCTTCATACCTATTGTTCTTGAAATAGTCCCACTCAAACACTTCGAAAACTGATCACTATCTATGATTTAGACTCACTATGAAGCTAAATTAGCGCTAGCCTTTTAAACTAGAGAATGAGAGCTAAATACTCCTCTCCATAGTGAAATGCCACAACTTGATACATCCACATGACTAATTACTATTCTCGCCATAATCCTCTCACCATTTGCCCTTATTCAACTTAAATTTCATAAATATACATACCCCATGAGCCCAGTACTAAAGGCATTTGAGTCTACTTCTTTTCCTTCTCCATGAGAAACAAAATGAACGAAAATTTATTCTCCTCTTTCATTACCCCAACACTAATAGGACTACCTATTGTAATCCTAATCATTATATTCCCAACTCTGCTATTCCCCACCCCTACATGGCTAATTGATAATCGACTAGTCTCAATCCAACAATGATTAGCCCAACTTATTCTAAAGCAAATAATAACAATGCACTCCCCCAAAGGGCAAACTTGATCCCTAATACTAGTTTCCCTAATTATATTTATTGGCTCAACCAATCTCCTAGGCCTCCTACCTCACTCATTCACGCCAACAACTCAATTATCAATAAACTTAGGAATAGCAGTTCCACTGTGAGCAGGGGCCGTAATCACAGGATTTCGCTATAAAACTAAAGCGTCACTAGCCCATTTCCTCCCACAAGGAACCCTATTCCCCTTATCCCTATACTAGTTATTATCGAAACAATCAGTCTTTTTATTCAACCTATAGCCTTAGCTGTGCGATTTACAGCCAATATTACAGCAGGTCACCTGCTGATACATCTTATTGGTGACGCAGCCCTTGCCCTAATTTCAATTAGAACAACAACAGCTCTAATTAGCTTTATTATTCTTCTTCTACTCACAATCCTAGAATTCGCCGTAGCCTTAATTCAGGCTTACGTCTTTACACTCCTTGTAAGCCTATATCTACACGACAACACCTAATGACACACCAAACTCACGCTTATCACATAGTTAACCCAAGTCCATGGCCGCTTACTGGGGCCCTATCCGCCCTTCTCATAACATCAGGTCTAGCCATGTGATTTCACTTTAACTCCCCTTCCCTTCTCCTAATGGTTTAGTAACAAATACTCTCACTATATATCAATGATGACGAGAGCTCGTACGAGAAGGCACATTCCAAGGCCA